GTTAGTTTTCCACACCCTAACGGTGGGTTTTATGAATCTTAAATTTTATATGATAGTTTAAAAAATAGTCTTGTCAGTGAGAATTTTCTCATTTTTTTAATTTGTATTTCTTTGGTTTTAGTGAGGTTGAATTTTTTTTTTTTTTTTTTTACTATATTTAATGTTACTTTGTGGGTTTTTTGGTAAATTGTCTCTAAGTCCCTTGATTCCCCCACCCCCAGGAATACTTGTTTGTTTATTTTAGTTTGTAACAGCTTGAAAAATAGTAACCTCTTATCATAATTATACAATTTCTCTAGTTTGTCTTTTAACTTTAAAAGCTTATCCTAGTCTCAAATTATTATTTTTTTATTGTTCATGTTTTCTTCTATTATTTCTATGATTTTTTTTTTTTTTATAATTACATCTGATCTATTAGGAATATATTTCAGTAAAAGGAGAGAAGTATGGAACCAGCTTTGCTTTTTCCAAGTAGTTATAAAATGTTTTATGTGGGAATACAAAGTTTTATCTGTGGTATAGATTCAGCTATGGGCGATAATAGATAGGTGGAGTGAAATGCAAAAAAATAGTTGATGATCTCCAGCTGGTGGGATTTGAGGTGTTTTTTATTTTTAAATACGTATATTTTATTTTCTGGTTTTTTATAATCATGTATTTTATAATCCAAAAAGAACTTTAAGACTCAGCTTATATATTTTTCTTATAAATAATATGTACGTATTTTAGAAAACTCAAAAAGAAATATTAAAATCATTTGTGAGTATCCCAGTTAACTGCTTGTTAACATTTTGGTGTGTGTTTTCCCATACATGGGAAATCAGCTTTTTTTCACGTTACATCTGGTCTTCCCAGACAATAAATAGAATACTACGTTGTCATTTGCGGTGGTGTGAAGTATGCCCTTATTTGAATGTGTGCTCATTGTTGGATAAGGTTGTTTTAAAATTTTTAGTATTCTAAATTATAGCATATACATATTCTTAAAGCTAAATCTTAATGCTTGTTCTTTTTTCTTTTTTTTTT